CGTGTTCAAGACATCTATAATAAACAAGAAACGTGTTCAAGACATCTATAATAAACAAGAAACGTGTTCAAGGCATCTATAATAAACAAGAAGCGTTTTCATGACATCTATACTAAACAAGAAACGTGTCTATGGCAGGAGGAAGCGAGTGGGGGCGGCATGGCCAGTGAGCTGAACCTGAGCAACGTGGGTGGCGTCTTTGTGGTCCTCTTGGGGGGCATGGGCTTGGCGCTCGTGGTCGCCATCTTCGAGTTCCTGGGGGAGTGCATCAATATTTCCAAAGATGATGAGGTCAGTGAATACGATGAGGTCAGTAAATACGATGAGGTCAGTAATTGAGGTCAGTGAATACATTGTGGTCAGTAAATACGTTGAGGTCAGTAAATACATTGAGGTCAGTAAATACGTTGAGGTCAGTGAATACATTGTGGTCAGTAAATACATTGAGGTCAGTAAATACGTTGAGGTCAGTATCCATAGACGACGAGGTCATTCTGCAAAGACGCTGAGGTCAATGCAGGCGATGATGGCAGCATGTTCAGACGATGATGTTAGTGAAGACGATGAGGTCAGTATAAATAAACATTGAGGTCATTATCCAAAGACGATGAGGTCATTATCCATAGACGAAGAGGTTAGCGAAGAAGATGAGGTCGGTGAATACGATGAGGTCAGTATACATAGACGGTGAGGTCATTATCCATAGACGATGAGGTCAGTAAAGACGTTGAGGTCAATGAAGACGTTAAGGTCAGTGAATTATGTGTATCGATGGTTGTTTGCAGTTCATTGGAGCAAGTTTATGAGGTTTATCGCAAGCTTATATTGTAATTTAGACTCAGCTTTTTCTATTGTTGGGAATGTCTTAAAGCAAATTAGTCGTTAATAGTTAATGAATTACTCAAGTTAATAGGTTATTTAAGTGAACTAATCGGAAAAGAAAAGTGTATCAAATCATTGTTACTTATGAATCCAAAGTTCGTCGTAATTATTTTGACAAATTATTACAATGGCCTATATTTTGCCACTAGAAAAGAGTTAGTGGAGCTTCTTTTGGCCTAAAACAATTCGAATATATAGCGACTGGGTTCACTATGAATGGCCCATATTTTTATGGTAAAATTGTCTTTCAATTTACTCACTGTTTTGCAATTATTTCTACGTTCATCTTCATTTGTTCGCTTGCATTAAATTATTCAGCTTGCATTTAGCACCCAAATTTCATCAATTAACGGACCCTGGTTAATATTTATTTTGTTAAAACTGGCCTGCTACTCCATTTTCAGATCCCGTTTGTGAAGGTTCTGCGACAGGAACTGAGGTTCATCTTCAAGTGCAAAGGTTCTACGAAGCCCATCCGCAAGAAGGCGTCAGAAGCCGGCGACGACATCGATGACGACGATGACGAACACGAGGAGACCATCTACGGAGGTTCTGACGTGTACTCCTATGGCAACAAGACGCCGATTACTTGATTTGCAGACGTGGCGTCAACACATGACGTCACGACGTCTTCAGGAAAGTCTCAGGAAGCACAAACTTCTTCAGGAGTTTTAAATAACGATGCTATACACCGTGCCAAAGTATTGCTCAAGTGTGCGTCCGAAGATTCGACGGCCGACCTACAAGAACTAAAAGAAGACGGGAGGACGGACAGCCGACAGAACCTCTTGAGGACTCAGTCTTTTAAAATGATCCCTTTGCCAACACCTAGAAGTCCGGCACCCAAGCCTGGATTTAGGAAAAACTCAATTCAACCTGAAATTAATTTTAAAATGCCGTCAGAATCGCTACAACGTGTCCCTGCTTCTGCGCCGTGCACCCAGTGTTTAGCTGTAAATAGGAACGCTTCCCAAGGCGTTGTTGGACCTGGTAACGTTGGAAAGCTTTTCAGTGGCCTTCCTTTTGGGCCCGTGCCCGACCTAAACCATACGGTCGGCACTGCTGAATACCACACAACTCTTGTGCCTTCTTTAAGAAGATTCAATCATCTTGCTGTCGGATCAACATTACCTAGTAACCAGCCACGCAATTCTCGTTATGCTGAACCACTCGAAGGAACATGGAACAGCAGTCCTAACACCCCTGTTCACGGGCGTCGCGCATGTTCGTCTCCTGACCAAGTTGTGTCAAATCCTCACCACATTCCTGCGTATCCTCCGGTACAACTTGACACTTCTCATTGTCCGTCAGACTGTCCCAACAGGATTGCTCTGAGCGGTTCCTACTCTTGCGAAGCCTTACCAACCAGACCACCCCTCTCAAACTCCCCTTGCGTGGCACGACGCCTGAGGTTCTCTGCCGCGGGCAGTCCTCAGTTTGTCAGATTCCAAGATGAAAGTTCGGAGAATTTGTCGCAAAATTTTGATTCTGGTAAAAAGCAATCAAAAAGTTTGAGCTTTACTGGTGCTAGTTGAACCTGATTTCCAAATTTAAATGGTAATTCATAAATAAAATTCAACGATAATGATCTCCTTCAGTTACAAACTAAGTATCAAAATAAATAGATAATATCACAAGAAGTACTACGGTTTTACTTATCAAATACTTGCTTCCAATGAAAGTTGAGTGATCTTCAAATTTTTTAATTGCAGTCGGGACTTAACATGATATCTTGGATGCGGTCTACAACTGAAGTCCACGGAGTTTAAACGCAGCTTTTAAATTACTCTAGCTGTGTAACACAAGCATCGCTGTATAGAAGGAATATTAAAAGTGTTATATTAAAATCACTTGTGGATATCGAAAACTTCGGAAAATTTCCTAAATTTTAGGTTTACACACGTGCAATTAATGAATTAATGACCAGAAAGTTCATTGATTTAAATTTTAGTGTCGCAAAACAATTCTTTAGTTGACGTTGGAAGATCGAAGAGAAAGTTTGAGAAAGCAATAACAATTCAATAACGACGTTTCAGATACAACCACATTCATTTTCAGGTTATAAGAAACATTCAAGTTGTTCAGTGACCTCAAAATTTATATCAATATAATCTCCGGTCATTAAACTCGTGTGGTAAACAAGCATATTCTGTCATCTAATAGTAATTTCCAATTATATACAAAAATGACTGTTGATCCATTTTTCAATTCTAGAGTAAAAAGTATCTCAAAAGTAACACCCACTGGTATTTCTGCGTCATATTCGAACTTAAAGTGTTTCATAAGGACTATTTGTATATTACAGCTAGAATTGACTTACTATATTCCGAAAACATCTCAATCTGTCACGAGTTATTTATGAAAAGTTTTCCTCATTTTCAACATCTGTAATGCACAAAAAAGTATTGGTAACAAACTCCATCCTGAATTATTATCATTCAGTTTACAATAAATTCCCAACTAAACTGGTTCCAGTCCATTTGTTCGTGAATAAATTCATGATTCCCCAATAACTGAAAATACCGACAGCTAAATTAGTCAAAAATATCTTTTATGCACGGCTTTAATTCCCTAAAACGTCCCATCACCAACATCTTCTCGGCTGAATTTTGAAACAGTGAACAGTGCGTTTACATATCTTATATTTAACGCAACCTTATATTTTGATGGCTCATGCTGTAGTATAATCATCTCTATCGATTCTTTTACTGCCACCTTGCTGTGAAAGCCAACTAACTTTTTCAAAATTCATCATATTCGCGCATGTAAATATTGGAGTCCCTCAGTATTTTTAAAGGAGGCGCCACTTTTCCCTCAGTATTTTTAAAGTTTTTTGGAAAAGTTTTACTTATTTCCCTGAACTTCGCGACGAACAGCTAATTTTTTAGCTGTCTGGCCCGTCAAAGTTTTGTTGCTTGTTTTTGTGCCATTTTATCGTTTTATTTACAATGCTATTCCTGCCTGAAGTGTAAGATTAATCGTCCAATAAGTGGTTGATCGTTCAATATAAGTTTAGTTTAAGCTCGAATTATAAGCTTTGGCTTAAATATTTAAGGTAAGCCCATGACAGGGATTTATTTGAATAAATAAACAATGATGCGCAGAACATGTTTTATATTCCTTTTATTACTTATTGTTATATTATTCTTTTCATATAAATATAAAAATCACAGGCACGCAGGCTTAGAGATTAAATTGAACTGATTTCTACTTTAAAGACCCCACAGTTAGAGCAATTCATTAGACTTCGTCCAAAAAGCGATACACTTTTGCCCTTAAGTGAGTCATCTAGACCCAGTTTGCAACGAAAAGCGACGTATCAGTGTAACGCGCTGAAGCGTGTTCAGTGTCGGACAATATAACTCATCCATTTTCCTCTTTGCAGTTGGCGACGTATGTTTTTAAAGTTAGCAACTCAGTTCTAGCAAGAGGCATTAACCATCCAGCTTTGCGCACAATTATCAACCATAATTGTCACTGCATTGCTATAAAGATTAATAATGCTACAGAATTTATTAATAGCATTTATTTCTTTGAAGATTTTTTGGCAGCAATTTTTTGTGATGCTGTGCCAGTAGCACTCAACGAACATCGGCCTCTCAGTCCTCCCACTGTCGCAAGTAAATCTAGTTTTTGTTAGCGAGCTCGTGAAGTCATCAATGTTAATCATTATTTAGCTTCATACAGTGTTAGGTTCACTCTAATTGAACTGCATTTTATGCTCCCACACTCGCCTGAACAAAAATGGGCGCTACTATTACACTGCATGCATTTGTCGTGCAGCAGAACCGACGTCCACCTTCACTCCTTCTTTCCGTCGGCCATCAGAATATGGAACTCCCTGAGTGCAGACGTCGTGGCAGCTACATCGCTACCTGCTTTCCAGTCAGCTGTACAAGGCTGGCTGAGGGCGTACCATAACTAAAACCTTTCTATCGCCTGTTTCTCCAATGTACTTATTTTTTTTCCTAGGACGTTACACGTTCTCCAATGCCCTCATGTGCGTGCGCGCAACCGTTGGTGTTTTTTTTTTTCTTCAATTATGGAGTATCCACCGTATTATTATGAATATGAATATGAATATTCGCGGCTGTTGCTGCCAAAGCGATTACTCGTTACTAAAAGAAAACTAATACCACATTATAACATACAATATTTTCTGCTGCAATGAACGAATGAAAATCTTTTAATAATGAATTTAATTGGAACTTAATTGAGGTGGTTTACAATGATTTAATATCTTAAAGTGTTGTTAAACATATACATTAATTATGATTGTCATCACGCATATAACCTTCCTTTTCCTTGCTAATTAATTTACTTACGATACGAGTACCCAAAATGAAACTTAATGAGCATATACAGACGAGTATATTTATGATGCTTTAAGTCTTAGATATCATAAAAGATGTACAAATTGAACTATTTTGCTATTTTTACCCCCAAATTGTACTCAGCGTTTTGCTTGATCTTAATTATGATGATAAGAAGTATTTTCTAATTAACAAAAAGTATTTGAAATTAGATTTAGGGCTACTCTTTTAAATATTTTGTTTCGGTGCAAATCTGAAAGAAATTTGGCGTTCGAAATAGACTTAGCAAATATAAGGAGGTAAGACTAGCCAGAACTCAACTTGTGACGCGGTTTTAAAAAAAATTTTGCTGCATATATAAACTTTTCTGACACTTTGAGCTGCTTACGACCGAACTTTTTCGTAAATTTATGCCGTGCTTCACAAGTTTCATTTGCTGTGATAAGGAAGTTTTAGGTAAAAATATTGTGGCTGCAGGCATGATAGCTTTGCTGATATACTTAAAAAAAGCTCATTTTTATATAGTGATGAAATGAAGTTGCGTTAAATAATTCAAAGTTCACAAACTGAAATGAAGCGCCTTGTTCTTCAGTCAAATTTTGCAAGTACTAATTAAAATGCTTCTTGATATTCAAGTCGATACAAGAGGGAGAACTGAGATCTGTTCGATCATGTTCTTATAAATACTATAATTTTGATAAAAAATATATGAAAGCATAAAAGGATAAATACGATTAATATGATAAATATGATGTCAAGAACTGCAACAAATTTAATTTTAAAATTTATGGTTTTCACTTTTGTAAGGAATTTATACAAACATAACTGCTAACAATTTTATTGAGACTCCAAAGGATAAGCTTCGGATCCAGAGAAGTAGAAAACCGGAACTGCAGTGGATGCAGTTGAGGAAACTGAAATTAGAAAAAGAAACTTTACTTAATGAATGCCAAAGCTTGAGAAA